GTGCGACGTCGGAATTATGTCGTTGGTTGGTGCTGTGTTTGTCATCGTGTGGCGGTTGGTGTTTAAGGAGACAAAGGAGAAGAATAAGATACAGTCTATCATGTTGATACATTTGGCCGGGTCTGATGGACTGATGGGTATCTACCTTATCATAATAGGTGTAATGGATGCCATTTGGGCAGGGCAGTATTTCTTGCATGACTATAACTGGCGTTCAAGTTTGTCATGTCAGATAACAGGTGCCATTGCCGTGTTGTCAAGTGAGGTGTCTGTTATGACGATTTGTTTGATATCCGCCGACCGGGTTAAGAATATTCTGTTCCCCTATCGTGGAAAGTCCCTTACAATCAAGGTTACGCACCTTCTGTGTTTCCTTATCTGGATTGTTGGTGGTTTAATTGCATTTATTCCCACGGTGGGTATCGAATACTTTGGTAGTCGCAAAAAAGGTCACCACTTTTATGGCAGATCAGTTGTATGTCTCCCATTGCAGCTTTCTGCTGATAAGCCCTCAGGCTGGGAGTACTCTGTTGCCATGTTTGTTGGTTTAAACTTTGCTCTTGTGTTCTTCATCATTGTGGCCTATTGCATGATTATCTACAAATCCTGCACATCAAACAGGCGTCTGGCTCAGCAAGGGACCAAAAGAGAGAGGAAAATGAAAGCCAAGCAAAGGGCAGCCGACCTGAGGAGGGAGGCCTCGCTCGCCAAAAGAGTGTTGTTCATTGTTCTTACCGATTGTGTCTGCTGGCTGCCCATTGTGGTTATTGGAATGAGGTCTCTCTTGGAAAAATCCTTCCGTACACCTGGTGACCTGGCAGTTTGGATCGCAGTCTTTGTTCTGTCGGTTAACTCTGCCATCAATCCCATTCTCTACACTTTATCAACAAAACAGGTAATAACACGCAACCTTCAAATCTTTACTGAAACTTCTTTCTGCTACTGGATCAGCTGAAATTAAAGGATACTTTCATAAATGTTTTGTTCTATGCTGTGAAGAATGTAAGCTGAACTAGTTTAAGCAAAAGCATTCCGTTTGGCACGAAGAAAATTTATCGGGTTTTGATACTTGAATACTTTGCGGAGTATCTTTGATCTGCCAAAAAAAAAAGATTCACGTAGAAAAAACTCTTACAGTTCGTGTCATCCTTTTGAGTAGTAAGGTGTATTATAGAACTCAGGAAATTTTTCTAATAAATGGAAGGTGCTATAACGAACTAACCAGTTAAAAGTTGTCAATATGATGCCCCTTCCCTGTTCGGTCATCTACAACGAGAAATATATTAGTGTCACTCGATATTAGATAAACCAGCCTTATTAAGCCGCTTAGCTCCATAAACTAAAATACTTCTTTTTTTTCTGCACATGTCTTAAATTGCGTAGCTAATGAAATATAAAGTTGTCTGTTTTCAAGGTATAAAACTTCTGTTGAGGTGAAAAGATCTCACGGAAACAAAATGAGTCACCATCAACTAAAACGGTTCTGTTTCTGGATCTCACACCAGGCAATAATGGCAAAGTACTCTGAGCATTTGAAACCTCCATGTCGATCATGTAAACAATAGACCGCACTCTCGGTGGGCTTACCAGCATAACATTCCACGCGAGATGTTGGGAAGACTTAAAAAAAGAGTTTTAAATCGGGAATCAAAAGCGAGGGATTTACTACATTTTCGAGTTTTTTACAGACAT